TGTATAAGATTTGAATAATTCATAAAGCACATTGCTATTATACAATATTTTTAACTTGTACGGACAACAAAAGATTTTTAATTTAACAATTTAAAAAATTAAATGAATGATATTACAATAAATTTAATATATTATATTTAATTATATCATATAAAGATACTATAGATATGATGAAGTATAAGGAATGGGAGACATGATTATTCAAAATTTTCTAATATTTTAAGATAATTAATATGTAGCATAATGTAAATATAAAGTTATATGCTTTGTGAATGTGTACACATTCATATGTCCGTAAAGTGTACAGATGTATTTATTCAAGACTATTAAATATCTCTTGTGTACTTTGATGGGTTAAAAAGCATTTATTTAGATACCTTAACAGAAATTATAAGTCTAATTATAAAAAATACATATTTAGTTATTACTTATTGTTTATTCCATTAGAATTGTACATTATATATTATTAGTTATAATTCTGTAATACAATTTTTTGTTTCTTTAATAAATAATTTACATATTTAGTATTTAAAATATTTTCTAAATTAGTATCATTGAAACAACATTTTTTTTGTAATTGATATTTTGTTTTAATTATACTTAGAACCTCTATATATTTTTTATTATTATATTCTATCATATTATCTTTTGAAGAACAATTAATATAACTTTTTTGTTTGATATAATAAAAGCAAAGATTTAAAAATTTTGATTTTTCTCTATAAAAGGGATTATCATCATGATAAAAAGGATTTTCAATAACAGTATTACTATCAAAATATTTAATATTATGAGTGAACAATTTTATAAAAAAAAAATTCATATCATTATTTATAGGAAAATTTAGTTTTTCAAGTATCACTTCTGATAATAATTTTTGATATATATGTTCATTATGCTTTAAAGTACTATATTCACTATTAATTGTCTGTAGAACATGTGTTTTTAAATCTTCTGCAATAATTTCACGTATTTCTGCAATTTCATCCTTCAATAAAATTAAACAACAATGTAAAACAGTCAATTTATTTTTACTTGTTAACTCTGAAAACCTATAAATCGCAAATTGTATAAATTCAACTGCAATTTGTCTCATATATTCTTCTTTGTGAATAGTTAAACTAAATGCATGAGATATTATTTCATTTATCATAAACTCATTTCGGGAAAAAATTATCAATACACATCTTAAAGTCCATAAATCAGAATATTTTTTAATTTCTAATTTTTCATTAAATAAATTTTTTATTATCTTTTCAATGTCTAATTCATTTATATCAAGTAATGGTAAATGTTTTAATGTCTTCAAAACATAATTTATCATTGCTTTTAAAAGTAATTCGTTATGAATGATATATTCATCAGACAATAAATATTTAAGTACAATCTTTAAGATTGGAATGCAATGTGACACATGATTTAAAAAAGAAATACTTTGATCAATGCAAGGAGAGTTCAAAATTTTATGTAAAATATCAATATCAATGTTATTTGTACGATTTATATAATCAACATACAATTTTGTAGAGATATCGATAAATTGAAAAAATCCTGGTTTTATCTTTTCAGAAGAGAGTAAATATATGTTTTCATTAAAAGTAAATAAATCTTTATCAGATATCTCGTGGGAAATAAATTTGTTTAATTCTAAAAATAGCGTTTCTAATATGTAACAAATTTGTAAATTATTTTTTTCTTTAGACACATTGCTCCAAAGTTGTAATATTTTTTTAAATCGTAGCAGTTCTGTAGATTTCTTTAATTCATGATTTTTATATTGTTTAATATTCAAATATGAATTTATATTTTCAATTTCAAAAGATAATTTTTCTTTCAAAAATTTCATAGTTAACAAACAACCATGAATTAAATTAATATTTTGACATGAAGAGACATTGCATTTTAATTTCTTAAATTCAAATTTAATTTGTAAAAAATTTGTTAATGCTGTGTATGCTTTTGCAGCTAAAAGTCTAACATATAAAACAGGATTTTCAAGTAACATAAAAAGTAAATGTTTTAATTTTAATACATATTTTTGTGAAGAATAATCAATTAAATTACAAGCACTACTCGAAAATTTTGAGAGAAGTATAAGAATATGTACAATATTCGAATGTAAATATAAAGTAGTAGAAAATTTTGTAAATGTGAAAGAAAATCTATGTAATTCTTTCATAACATGATCTGCAAGCACAGGATAATGTGTAACAAAATGATTAATTGAATAACCATTTCCAAAATCTAATGTATCATTATAATTTTGTCCAGTTAATCTTGAAATTATAGCACTAAATAATTGTAGACCTGCATTTCTAATAGTCCATATTTCAGATTCTAAATATCTAAAACAAGTTAATGATATTTTTTCCATATATGGCATTAATTGTGCATGTAATTCTTTATCAGCTACTAAAGCCTTTAAAAAATGCAAATATCTTGCCCACGGAGAATCGTGTTGAGATTCTATGCTTTTTAAATTTATATCCGAAATATTATCAAGTAAATCTAATAATTTTTGTACTGCAAAATGTAAAAGAGGCCTTTCTCGTCTATCGTCACTAACAACTATTTTATAAAACATTATTGATAATCCAGCAGCCCTTCTTGTAATGTTTAAAGAATGCATAGAATCATTTTCCATTATACGTAATATATATTTTTTTGGTAAATTAGAATACTTAGCTTGTTTGCATAAATATCTGAAATTATAAGAAAATAAAATAATTTAATTTTTTAAATTCTATTGAATTAAATTATACCTTGTTAATTGTGCTATTGCTGTACCAGCAGCTTCTACTACTCCTTTATGTCTACATCTGAGTAATACAGTAATAATAATATTAGCTGAACGTTTAATAATATCATCGGAATACATTAATATACCTATTTCGCAAGCTATTTCACAGGATACCTGAATAAAAAAAAATTATTTTATTTTTATATATTATATATCAATTTGTTGGAAAAGATAAGATTTTACAATAAAGATTAAGATTTTTACCTTTAAAGACATCCAAATGCAAGAAATAAGTATCTGATGTGCAGGAGTTAAACTTAAATCATCAAAATTGAGACTGTCTATTTCACTATTTCTAATTGTTTCATTAATCGCTAATCCCATTTCCGCAAATGATGATGAATATTCTGTAGATTCAATTACGATTTCATTCAAAAGAAAACATTTTCAAGTAAATTTTAATTGAAATTAAATAAAATCTACCTTTATTTTCAGATTTTGAAGAAAATATATATAAAAAGAAATTTATAGCATCTTCCAATAAATATAATATTTTTTCAATAAATTCGATACTTATATTACAACTTTTTCGATTATTTTGAAAAGTAATATTTAATAAGGCAGTCATCATACCATAAAATGGTTTATTTTGAACAATTGCCTTTAATATATCTTCTTTCATCTTTATTAATTGATCCGTAGCTTCATTATATAAAAAATGTGAATATTTCAAATAATTATTGCAATCATTATGTAAAAAATTCAGAGGCAACCAAATTACTAAAATTGATATAAGAGCTGCACCACTTTCAATTTCATAGAATTTAGAAGAATTGCAATGTTTTAATGCCGTATGAAATAATATCTAAATTAATATTTTTTTCATTAAAGAAAAAATATCAACAAAATGTCAATTAAATGAAAGAGAAATAATTTCTTACCTCTTTCTCTGTATCAGATAAAATATCTTTATCGAAATAATTAAGAATAATAGAAGTAGATAATTGTTTAACATCAAGTGCAGAATCTAATACAAGTTTTAATAGAATAAATAAACTTTTTCTATTTGTAAATTTCCAATTTTCAGTTGTTATTAAATTTTTTTTCAGAAATAACATACATGAAATATTTTCTACACTCTTAGACTTATTTATAATACATTCATCAGTAAATGAAAGTATGGCTTTATATAAGTTTAAACCAAGAATTTTTCTTTGATAACAAGAACCAATTTCAAAACAATCTAAAAAAAATTCATGTAACCAATGTGTGATATATATTATATCATATATAGAATCTGGATTATTATCACACATTTTTAAAATATTAATGTAAAATATTTTAAAATATTTTACAATTCCATTTCTCATGTAAATTGTTGTGCTATTTGCATTAAGCCATAGAAAATTTCTTGTTGTAAAAAATTGATCTCTATTTTTCTTATATAATTTAATTATTTCATAACAATTTATGGCAAATCCATTCAATCTTACAATTTCATTATTATGATTTATATAACATTCAATGCTTGTTTGTTCTGGAAGATCAATATGCATTTCACAAGCCATTTTTTGAAGATGTGAACGTAAAAAATGTTCTTTTATATCTATGATAAAATTCCATAAATAAGGTAAAAGATTTTTATATTTTTTAATAATTGGTTCAAGCCAATGCTTACAAAGTAATTGAAGAGCATTATGATTTTGACTGTAATTAAATATCTATATTTATATTTCAATTTTTTATTATAAAAATTTTTAATAAGTTAACTTACTTCTCTGATGATTCCCAATGATGAAAGAGATAGTTTATTATATGTCCAAATGCTTCCTTCCATTCATTTTCGTTTAATTTTTTTACAATAGCAATATAAACTTTTGTACCCGCTGAACGCAAATAATATTTCGTTAAACTAGTACATAAAGAAAGTAAAAAGTCATGAGATGTAATAATTTTAGTTTGATTACAAACTTCGCATATTTCTGCGAGTATATCGTACTTTAGTTCATTTTGCCAAGAAATTGTATTAACACAATGTTTAAAGAGATATTCCAAATATCCATTATATTTTTTTTCCATAATTTTCAAATACATATTAAAAATAAGCATTGAATTTTGCTTACTTATATCATTAATAGCATTACACCAATTTGAAAAAATAATTGTTTCAAGTTTTTGTTCTAATTCTGAATATATATTCCAAAAACTTGTATGCATGGTTCTTTGCAAACACATGTATAATATTTTATATGCAAAATAAGAATATTTAGTATATTTTATACAATGTTCGAATATAAGATTAAAAATAAGAAAACAAATATCATCAAAGTATATTTCACTACGATTAACTTGTAAATATCCATAAGCGCAAATCAATTTAAATAGTTCTAATTCGGGGATGTCATATTTTTTATCGAAAATATGTAGTTCGTTATGTTTAGAATCTAAAAGGTTTATAAAAGTTTCTTTTAAAAGAACCAAAGAAGATTGCATTGATAATAAAGCAAAAAATGTGTGAGAAGCCAATAGAGTTCTTTCTCTTCTGGTTTCTGTATTTGGAATAAAAATTTCTATGATACATATAAGGACTGGTTGCCATTGTTTCAAATATTCATCATCCCAAGATTTTGTGCATGATGAAGTAAAATTTATCAATTTCTAAAAAAAAAAACAATAAATTCAAAATAATGCTTCATGTTTAGAATAATATAAATGTAATAGATGTTAATTAAAATAAGAGCTAGACCAATAAAATCAAAAAATACTAACTCTGAAAATAGTAGTATCTTCTGTACATGTTTTCAACTCTTTGATTACATAATTCAATTCCATATTTTTTGTACACATTTTGTTATTATAATACAGAAAAAGAAGATTCAATTTAATAATTGTATATATTATACATATATATTTGTTCCCTATTCATATGAATTTGTATTTGTTGTTTGAAAATTAAAAACTGCTTTTGAAGTTTGTGCAGTTGCATCTGTTTTGTTTCCATCAAGGCTGCATGTCCTGCAATTAATATGTAATAATGTCATTTTTTAAAATTTTTTTTCTAAGTATCAAAAAATTAAATTTAAAAATAATAATTAATAATTAATTCCTGCAAAGCCATAAAACATTTAAAAATTCAAAAGATAATTAATTATTCATTTAAATGTAAACAAGCATATTATTCAACAGCCATAAAATTTGCTTTTGCATAAAAATCTATATAGCAAAATGATTGAAAAGAAAAAAACGAATCATTTTTTTTTAATATAATGGATTAAGGTTATCACATCATATAAAAAGACAATATTATATTATTTGTAGTCTTTTTATTATAAGTAATAAAAATAAGAAAACTTAATTCAGAAACAGTTCAATAACTATTAGATGAATTATAATAAATTATAAATTACAGTAGCTAAATTAGTTTATATTATTTATATTTTATCTTGTATTTTGTTCTTCAGGAACATACCCCCCTTGCTCTAGCTGCTCTTTGAATTTCAAGTACTCTCTCTTACGATCAAAGTGTTTTACCTAGTAAAGTAATAAAAAAAAAAATTTAATGAAAGAAAGATAAATTGATAAAATTATTTTTTACTTTTATATTACTAATAAACTGAAAACTATAATATATTAAATTATAATATATTTATTTAATTATTAAAATAATATTGATTTATAATTCATAACTTACCCATAGTGCAGGACAGAATTTTTCATATTGATCTCTCAATTTCTTACAATCTATTTCTGTTTTACCATCATCAAGACACTTCCAATATTCATCTCTATGATTCCAACATTTTGTACGATCTTCTTTATTTGGAAAAGACATTCTAAAATAATTGAATATTTTTTATTATTATTATTTATAATTAATTAAATTATTATCCAATTATTTACTTTTATATTTTATATCTTTTATTAAATATAAAGTATTATTATTATATATATATTAAAATTTCAAAACTTCATAAATAAATTTTTATTTAGTGAAAATGAAAATTAGAATATTGAAATTAAAAAAATATAAGTTATACTTACCTATACTAAATGTTTTGAAAATTAGTAATATTAAATATTTAAATAAGTCAATGAAAATTTTCACTTATAAATTCTAAATATATTATAAACTTATTTTAACAGAATCAAAAATAACAATCTTAAAATAAAATAAAATGATTACATAATAAATCTTGCTTATATTTAAAGTATAATTTTGGGCATATAATTCATGTGTTAAAAATCATAGAAAAAATTTTATTTATACATTTATAAATTCAATATTTTTAGGAATATAACTTAATTTTTTAATTTATTAAATCAAAAATAATATTTAAAAAAAAAAAATTTTATTATTATATATTTTTAAAAATTTTTAGTAATATACAAATATATACAGGAAAAATAAAATAAATAAATTGAAATTTATTATTTATATATTATTTTTATATAAATTATAAAATTATTTCGTTCTTATTCTAATAAAAATTAGATCTAATAAAATTTTATGAAACTATTGAAACTAACCTGTCTATTAGTTTTCTTGTAATAAATTAATAAATATTCTACATGAAATTATTCAAATTTTTGTTCACGATATTTTCTTTTTTTATTTTTTAAATTAAAAATATATATGCATATATTTTATTCTTTACTTTATAATGAAACATGAAATTTTCACTATCAATTATAATATTCTTGTAAGCATGATTTTATTATCTTTGTTTTGTGTACTCAAAAAAAAAAGTTTATTATTTAAATTATAATAAAAAAAATTAATTTTTATTGAAATATCATACAAATTAAACATATGTAAGTAAATACTTTTAATATTTAATATTCTCACATGTTCACATTAAATAAAGTAGAATCAGTGTTGCCAATCTATAAATTAATTCATAGTTTTTAAGAATATGATTTCTAACTAAATTTTTTTATTAAGTAATAATAAATTAATAATTCAATTATTAAATCTATCTGTAATGCTTAGATGTATGCATCACTCTTATTTTATTGTATACAAATACATATTTATTAATATATTAGCAACAATTAAAAATTTCAAGTTTATAATGCAACATTCAATTTGATAGATAAGGATGAAGCATTTAACATTATTAATTTAAATGTATCTTTCATATAGTAAAAACATGTCAAATTGTATATAATTCTAGAAATAACTGCTTAATAACTAATATTGTTAATTGCATCATCCTATATATAATAGAAAATTATTATCTATGTAAGATAAATTATAACTAAAACTATAACAAGACATGTAAACAACATTCCACCAACTAAAATAAATCCATCTTGCCTTGCTCTTTTTTCTATTAGTCTCATTGTAGTTTGTGAAAGTCCTAATGTATTTCCAATATCTATTAATCTTTTATGAGCCCCTTTTAAAGTTATTCTTTGTGATTTCAAACTATCTAAAATACTACTTCCACTTTGGAGAAGATCATCTACACCATAAATTGCATTTTTCAAACTATAATTATGTTGTACATTATGATCTATCATAATATCAACGTGATCATTTGTAGTAAATGTTCTAGATAATAATGCTTCTCTTTCAGCTTCTTCTCTTTGTCTTTTAATAATTTTGTTTCTCCAAGAATTTAAAGCAGCTGTGAGATGACGGCTGTCATATTTCAATTGATCTACACGCATCTTAGCATTTTGCCTTTGAAATATAGGACCCTTGAGACATAACACATCTAATTTTTCACAATTACTAAAAACATAAAATGATATATCATTTTTATTAAATGTATCAGTAAATTATTTGTACAATTTTTATATAAAAAAAATAAAAATCTTTTTAAGTAACTACCTGTTGATGAGATTTATCTTTGATTCTATGCTGTTTTCTATTTCTTTAACATCTAGGTTAAGCGTCTTTTTCTCAAGTTGTGAGAAAAGATGCTGAGTTTCCTGTACTAATTTGTTTGTTTGGTGATATAATGGTTCCATATTTATTAATAAATAGTTCATTCGTCTTTTAACATTCGCGTAAGTTATGACGTGTATGTATAAATACTATTGTCAGGTAAGATATCTGTAACAATGCTTATCAAAATCTATTCAATAATTTAATAATATAAAAGAAAAAAAAATACCAAAAACTATGAAGAACATTGCGATATATTAAAAAATAGTAAAGTTTGATAATATTTTTTATTTATATAATTATAGAAAAGTATAAAATTTTTTTATTTCTAATCAAATGTAAAATAATATCTTCTGCTTGAATGAATGAAAACTACTGACATCTTTAGGTTTAAATCGTATGTAGGACATATTTTTGTAAGTGGCATGAAATTTATATTTATAAATATAATTAAAAAATTCATTAATTTATTAAAGTTTTATATGATTTTTATAATCTATTATAACATATTATAATTTTTTTTAATTTACAGTGATTTACTTATAACATAATGTATATTGACTGAGAGTGGTAAATAAATAATATTTGTTATATTTAATTTCTTCAAAAAAGAAAACTATTGTTTTTATAAATGGATATCGGTGAATTATTGTCATATAAAGTACGTTTAACAAAATATTATATTTATAATCTGTTTCGAAATTATTATTATGTAAAATTTTAACCTAAATTTTAACCTAAATATAAGATATTTTTAATTGTATTTAATTAAAATTATATTATATTTAATTTCTGTGTTTATTTTATATAGCCACCAAACACACCAAAAAGACCAATAGCAGGAGAAGAAGATGATGAAGATGAATGGGAAAATGCTAAGAAACCAAAAAGAGTAATTAAAACTCCATATCATGCACGTCAAAGACAACCAAGAGAAATTGAAATGACCCCAGTTAGAAGTAATGAACCTCCTACACCTATCAGAGCTGCTTTACCTTCACCAGCAAATGATGTAGTTGAACCACAGCTTACAGAAAAAGAAAAACAAGATATTTTAAAATATGTAGAGACTGAAGCTCCAGAAATAGAAGCATTAGATGAAGCAACATTAAAGAGAATGGTTCTTTTATTTGAAAAAAGAGCACTTAGAAATCAAGAAATGAGAGTGAAATTTCCTGATCAACCAGAAAAGTATATTATTTTCAAATGTAGCATGAACATGAAAGATTATATAATAATAATAAATCAAATTAAAAATATATGAAATTAAGAAATAATTTTAATTTTTTAGATTTATAGAATCAGAAGTGGAATTACATGAAACTCTTCAAGAAATTCATGTTGTTGCAACTAATCCAGACTTATATCCTCTGATGGTAGAATTAGGTGCTGTACCTTCATTACTTGAATTATTATCTCATGAAAATACAGACATAGCAGTTGGTGTAGTGGATCTTTTGCAAGAACTAACAGATGTAGATATTTTACACGAAAGCCAAGAAGGTGCTGATACATTGATTGATGCTTTGTTGGAACAACAAGTTTGTGCTCTTCTTGTGCAAAATTTAGAGAGATTGGATGAATCAGTAAAGGAAGAAAGTGATGGAGTTTATAATACTTTAGGTAATTTTTATTTTAAGAATTTGTGTGTGTATGTGTGTATATATATATATACATATAATTACAAATTCTTAATATAAATTTATTCTTATATATATATTTCTTCTATGATTTATTCTTAATAATTTATTCTTATATATATAAAATATGTTATATGTTTTCAGCTATTTTTGAAAATTTATTAGAATTTAGACCAGAATTATGTGCGGATGCAGGAAAACAAGGATTAATGCAATGGCTTTTAAGAAGAATTAAAGCAAAAACACCATTTGATGCAAATAAACTTTATGCTAGTGAACTTTTATCTATTCTATTACAAAATACACCAGAAAATAGATTACTTCTTGGTGAACTTGATGGAATTGATGTATTATTACAACAATTAGCAGTATGTAATTTAAAAACATGCATATATATATATATATAT